TGCAGACATGATATCCTGCCCAAACACTATTAGTACAAATCTTTCTTCTCATTGAACTAAGAGAAAATAGCTGTATATCTATCCTAACTATTTTGTATATACAGATACAAATGGTCCTTCATTTATATCACCCTTTTGTTTGTTTTTGTCAGAGATGGGTACTCCATTGCCATTTAAATATTATAGGTGCATGAATTCAGCAAAATAATCCAACATTCTTAAGACAGCAGTCCCCTGCTGAGAAAAATGTCCTGTCTTTTCTGCTTTCTAGGTTCCAGGTTACATCAGGCTGTTTGCATTAGAGATTTTTGCATCACCACACACAAAACACTGTTACAGTCCCTCTATAGCTGGGAGATAAGTTGTCTTCTGATGTCCACCTATAGAAATTGGCATTTACCTGCCCCACCATTTACTATGAGGTAGCTTTAAGAAAATCAGTTAAAATCTCAAAATTACATTGTTTTCAGATCTAAAGGATATTGCTAATATCGCTATTATTAATTATTATGAAATGGACTCTCTAAACATAAAATCACTTGCCTATTTTATCCTCATCATAGACAGTTACCTGCTTCTAGGCTTACCATACACACTTGGCATGCATTAAGTCAATCACTGCTGGCAACCCAAGAAAGTAGATGTTGTTATTACTTCTATTTACAGAAGAAGTAACTGAGATTAAGCTGATAAAGTCACCTGCTCAGGCATACACAGACAGAAGACAATGCCGGACACAAATCTAAATCCTTCAGACTCTCAATTCATGTTGTAGTCATAGATTGATCCATAAGACCTTATATCTACCAGGCCTGACATCCAGGGAATGTTCAGTGAGATTGTGTAATTTCATGTTTATCTTTTTCTGTTCTTCCCAGACTTCACTGCCCGATGGAAGGCTTCTACCAGTGTTCCAGCATGGGTCTCAGCTTTGTGGTGAGGAACAAGGTGACCATTGAGATTGAATTCTGTTCCTGGGACCAGTTCCTGGGTAGGAATGAGCTGCAGCACACCTGGATGCCAGCAGGGCCTCTGTTTGACATCAAGGCTGAGCAGGGAGCTGTGGCTGCTGTGCACCTCCCTCACTTTGTGGCCATCCAAGGTAAATAAGGGAAGATCAGGGAGGAGGAAACTGGTAAAAATGGGCCTGAGAGGTGCATATGATGATGGAAGATGGGTAGAACAATCATGACTTCCTTTCCAAGACAGAGAGGATTATGGAAGTGGAGACTAGGTGTTTCTTTTCCTTACTTCTCTGCATATCTTTTTTGAAGCACATACCTCTCAGACTTAAAATTATTTTGGCTGAAATTATTTGAAAATTTTCCTAAGTATAAAATCAACTCCTCAATAACAATATTAACAAGCATTTATTGAGTGTACTTCATCAAGATTGCATCATTCTAAGTTACTACAGGAAACAGGTGACATTCTCTACTACGACTTTTCAGGATTTTTTATACCAGGAATCAAACTCAGGGCCTCTCACCTGCCAGGCATGCATTCTGCTGCTGAGCATTATCCCCTGCCCTGAGAATATTTTTAAAGAAAGAATATGCACAAAGTAAGGCTTAATTAGCTATCAAGGAACCCAGTGTCTATCCAAAAATGGATTACAATTCCTCTAGGCAGAGAGAAGATATATATCACCAGATTCCACTGGAGAGCTATAGCCACAGAACAAGGACTTTGGAAGAGAGTAGTCATAAGATATGCTGATAGCTATTACTTCCAATTAATTTCCATAGATATACCTTTGAGAAGTACAAGCTCACACTGAAATATCTTGGAAAAGGTAAAAAAGGAATAGAGAGAGACCTAACAGAAACCCTAGGCACATGGAACAGCCCCTTAGATGCTTCAGAGCTTCAGTTCAGTAGAAATAGAACATAAAAAGGCCTATGTTGACTATGCTGTATACTATGCTTCAAAACAGTAAGTAGACTTAAAAGTGGATCAAAAAGCAACAAAAAGTTAAGTAATCTATTTTGGACATGCAAAATTGGTAGAAAATATGAAAAAATATTTTAAAGGATTAAGTAATGTGGAGGATACCAAGAGAAGGCCTCACCTATAACGACTTAGAATTTTACAATAATTGCAGAGAAATAGAAAAGATGAGGGGCCAGGGAGATGGTTCGGTGGAATAAGCACTTCCCTGGCAAGCACAAGGGCCTGAGTTCAATCCCTGGTTCTGCCAAAAAAAAAAAAAGAAAGATGTAATATTTAAAAAGATAATTGCTGAAAATTATAAGACTTGGTAAAAAGAGATTTCACAGAATGAAAAATTCAAAATCTACACAAAAGGAAAGAGAAAGAGCAGGAAATGAGAGAAATCAACACTATAATGACTTTACAAAATCTCAAAACTAAAGAGATTACTGACCAAAACACTACTGCCAAATGTTAGTGACTAAATTTTCAGCAACAGTGAAAAGTATGAGACAATAGGATGATCACTTCTCAATGTTCTGAGAAGGAAATTGTCTGTTGAAGATTGCAAACTATGAAACATATTTTTAATTTCAAACCATTTTGTAAAGAGATTGTAATAAAAACATGCCATTAAAATACCAATAATATTGTATGCTTTGTGTTAGACTTAGATAACTAAATAAATAACAATCATAAGAGAAAATAAGGATGTCAAAGGATCCTAAGGACTTTGTAGACTTTCAAGGGAAGAAAAGTGCGTGGTAAATGTGCAGCCAGATGTGCCAATAGTGCATTCCAAAGTTTAAGTACTACACTATTTCTATGCCAGTAAATGAAAATTCCCTTTCCTTGAGACTACAAACTACCAAACAGCATGGCTCCATATTTGCCCCCAATGTATTGAATGGGGTCTGCATGAAATCCATCAGGGTGTGTTGGCAAAGTAAGTACTTCCCTAGTCCATTGCAGAGTAGGCAGGAGGGTCCAACTTACTGGGCAGCATGACAAGGACATTTAGAGCTGTCCTGATGACAGGAGCTGTGAACAGGCTCTCCCCACAAAACCAAGTAAAACTAGCCACTGTGGGGTGCTCAGATCTTAGTTTTATATCCATTCAATGCGAAATAAGAATTAGATATGGTTCCCAACATCAAATCATGACTCAGGCAGTAACTTCATTAAATTCATGACAGAATGATTTCATAAACAATTTGTGTTAGTCCCTATGTTAGCTGTAAGCAGTATTATGATATGTGCAATTTAGCTGACGATAAAGGGGAATATTTTTCATACTTCAGTCTTTATTTTATAGAAAAGAAAACTCAACAATAAGAACCATAGTAAGAATTCAAAACAAAATTGTGAGAGAGTAATAATTGTTAATATATTTCATATTGTTATCTTCAAAGTAGTTGCTCATATTAGAAGATATAGGCATGAAAAACTTGTCAATTTCTGATTCTTTCTTTTCTCCTTTCCTCCAATTTCTACTTCATTTTCATACTGATTACTAGATTGATTTTAGTGCCATTCTATTAGTTCCACAGATTTAGTGTAATCACTGATTACTGTACTGACTAATTTAAAGTATTTAATTAGTCTATTGTCAAGAAAAATATTATCTATCAAATCACAGAGTGCCTCCCCCACCCTGCCCGCCGAGTAGGATTTTCTGCCGAGTTCCAGGAGACCCCAGACCCAGTCCTAGCCCAGGTACGGTGAGTGTGCGGAGAGTTTCCTGCT